TTGGAAATTAGACCCCAAGGGATGAAGTGAGGGTTAACATTTTTCAAGCTAGGAATGTTTTGTCTATAATTTTATCTTTGAATCAAAAGACATTTTACAAAGAATTCCAGAAATTAATATAATTATATTATAAATTATATCAATACGGTGGGGTAGGAGGGGTTGAATATTTCTACTGGGAACATTATCACTTTTCAAGGTAAGCTTATAGAAATGTATGTCGAAAACGATTTGACTTGTAGCAAAAAAGTACAAAATATGTCATCTCAGAGCAGATTTTGCGGCAGGGCTAGATTGCTCAGATATATGCAAGTATATTTTAAAATTTCTCTTTTTCTCTTCTTTTCCTTTAGTAACCCAACAGTTATTATTACATGCCATGGTTTTCAATGTTCATCAACTTGAGCACTTATGTAAATACCATTACATAAGAACAATGGTATATTTTTGATTAAGTCAAAGTGGTGTATGAGTATTACAATCACAAATACATAACGTCTGTCAAAATCTATAAAATATACCTATAATGAATAAAGAAGTCGTGCAATCTAAATCGTTGTTGTTTGGCGGCCAAGAAGTAAAACCGTTATTCAACATATCTTCAAGACCTAAGAACCGATTTTAATTCAAATTGTACATACTTTACATACTTTAGAATTACACAGTTTTCCATTATTCCAATAATTACTAAGGTATGGGAAGGTTTTTAATTTTCATTAGTTCGTGGAGGTATATAATTTTGGAGAAGCTGTTTTCATCAGGTTACTAAGTATGTTCATTACCTTAGTTAATAACATTTAGCAATAATCTCGTCTACTTTTGTAAGTAACTTAAGATCAATTATTCAAATGTAGTCGCTACTCACAAAGGTTTGATAGCTCCTGATAATGATGACATAGTTCATCGAAAGCTAGAGAATAAAGTCCAGGCAGAGTGCACTTTGCACTAATTTGTCGAATTACCCAACAAAAGCTGAAGCTTTTTCTCACGTAACTGTATATATACAGGGTGACTTCGAAGTTGAGTCATTTATTTTAACAGTGAGTAGATCTGATCAAAAGAAATGTTTTTTTCCTTTACCATTTTTCTGGTAAAATTAAAGTAAGAAAGTTATAGCCCTTTGGAAGTTTGAGTACCGCCCTGCCTATTATATGCTCGTGTTTGGCGACAACGGATATAATCCGCCTGACCGGTTCATCGAATCGGAAACAAAAAAGCGAAAGAATTTGGAACGTTTATCACGATGTTTTTCGTCAGTCGATAACGCGTAAGTGAATAGTAGTGTGTTGCGTGGTTCAAACGAAATCAAAAATGGCACATGTTTACGAAAATGCTGAACTTGTGGACATGATTCTTATTTACGGGGGGGCAGTCTTTACAAAATGCTCCCGGATGCATCATGGATTTACGCGAATCGGTTTCCCAATCGAGTGCAACCAACCCCTCGTGCCTTTGTTAATGTAGTACAAAGGGCTCGTGAATCAGGTGACTTAAGACCTCACAGGTGAGGGCATGCTGCTCCAAGACCGCACGATCAAATACAGGTCCGCACTGAAATACTTGTCGGGAGGATACTTTATTAAACAAGGTAACATTTTTTTTTTTATTTTTTTTTTATTTTTACACACATATTTTGGTTTATCTTCCTTCTACAATCATTATCTGAAAATTAATGACTCAACTTCAAAGTATATATATATATATATATTATCATATTATCACCACTTACGATCACAACTATCTTTTTGAGAACATGTTTCGTAGAGATGTAAGAGATGTAGTATGCACGCTATATACAGATCATTGGGAAAAGATTTCGCATTGAAGATTCCGATTTATTCAACATTCAGCAGGGTCATTTCTTATTGACTTGAATATAATAACGTCAGTATGATTGTTCGAAACGCATCAAGGATAAGACTGTTCGATCTCCATGCTTAAACCCTCTAGGTTATTCCCTATGGGCCATCCAAGGTTATTAGTTTCCACAACTTGAAACAAAGTAAGAAGCGACGCTCGAGTATCTGAAGCAACTCAATGATCTATGTTTAAATATGTTTTGGCAGTTTTTCTAAGATCGTCAAAGGGAAAAATAATCTCAGAATGGTTTACAGAAGTACCTGCTGAATTTTTACTACACATTTTTGAAACAGCTTGCATATACGCATTTTTCCAGGCAAACTGATCAAACGAAATACCTAGGTTACAAAATTATTTTTCTTGCCTAAACTCTGCATCTGGATCCGCATAGTATATATAGGATGACCTCTGAGCATTTCTCAATGCTATATTTATTTTTCTTAATTTGTTTCAAGTCTGATACTTTTATTCGCGACATTGAAAATGAAGAACACTTCTAATGCCAAATATGGGAGCATTGTAAGACACAGAACGCATGAGCACACAGAAAATCGTTCAAGACAAGAGGAAAGGCAAGATAACTTTCCTACCATGTAGTCTATATAGTCTAAAAAACTTTAAAGCCCTATCTCAGTGAAAACTATGCTATAACAGCATAATGGGCTCCCGAGCTATTATTGTTCTGCAAACTCATAAGAAGAGAATATACTTTTCTACTCTATACACCCAGTCTTCTTTCAGATGGCTTTTGCTAAGACTCAATTTCCTTTCAGACATTACAAAAATTTCTCAGCTAATAAACAAAATCGTAAACTCTCACAATTTACGCATTTGACCTTTCTGGACTGCTCCTGTTGTTTCTAGTAGTTTTAATAAAACTTTTATGTACACCCGTATACGGTTGTCTAGACCTAAAGTGCCGTGAACACGTGTAAAGTCTAAATCTCTGTTTATTTACACTGCATGTTTTGAGAACTGAATTGAGTTCCAGTAGTAGGTTTAACAGATGATCGTTTTCACGTGAATAGCATGCAATAAAGATCGATGTGCTGATTCGCACCGTCTATACAGAGGAAATACAATTGGAAACATCAAAATGGTGGCAAAATATTCATCTAATGCAACTGACACTGAATTTAGTATCAGTTACTCACGTTGACACTGTGGGCAGCTAACCTCAAAGTTGTGCTACTACATTTAACACCACCACTAGGGCATGCTGCAGGCTAAAATTTAAATTATTAGTATCTATCTCATGGTCAGTATTCACCATGGGTTCTGCAACACAGGATCTGTTGTTTGTTCTGTCGTATCTTAAATTAGCCATATATTCTTTAATCCTAGTCCTGATAAGGTCTCGTAGCTTGTGTGATGTAGGATTTATTACAGTCACTAAAGCTGATCTCATAGATTCCACACCTTCAAGTGTGTCTATTTTGTCTTTGGAGTTCCCAGTAACCCTTTACGCTTATGATCAGACTAATACACTGCCCTAAGATCCAAATACTTTAAAACTTTTCAAGACCTTTTATTTACTTGGAATTGAAAGGTATTACTACGTTTTTCAATATCTTCCTTGGACTGTTGTAATGTCCTGAAGTGTTTTCTTCAAAGTACACTTATTAACCAATTTTTCCACATTGTCGTTGATCTTAGCCACTTTTCTGATCATCTCTCTGGAAGCTGTCACTGCTTAGTGAGAAGTTGACCAATCTATGAACCAAAAAGTTAAAACTGGCCATTCAGCGCTTTTTACAGTGGTTTGAGTCATTGTTCATATAGCGCATTGTGTTGGTTTCTTTTCTAAGTCATTTTCGTTATGAATAGTAACGGCCATACTTGTCACTTTCATATTTGATTTTAGCTGACTCAAATTGGTTGTTTGGTTTTTTGTCAAATACCTCTAAATGACATATTTTTTGAAACACAGCATATACGAGCACCTTCCCACTTCAGTTGGCCCAACTATTGGAATCTTAGTTTTTTTCTTATCAAACACAAATAATAAAAATTTAGCAGGGTGTTATAGGTTTAAAATATTAACAATGAATATTTTGATAATATATAGTGGAAAACACCAACTTTATCACTCCCTAATCAAATTTGCAGCATAACAATAACACATGTTGCAATTACAGCATATCAACCTATTTTCATTTCAATGCAAAATAAGTCTATAACGCACAGGTGGCTGTGAAAAATAAAAGCCATGACAATTGTTTTTATTAATAACAGCTGTCAGAATACGTATAAAATAGTTTTGAGTAGTTAAGGTTTGCAAAATGGGTAGAGGAAAGGTTATTAGTGAGAAAATTCGGTTACTGATAATTAAATTTTTTAATTCTGGGAAATCAAACTCAGAAATTACAACTTTGTTAGACTTATCGCGGTTCAGTGTGAGAAATATTGTTAGAAGATATAACGTAACTTGTTCAGTTAATATTAAGCCACGATATGTGAAAAAAGTAATATCACAAATGCCGACCGAAGAGCATTAAGAACAATAATAGTGAAAAACAGGCGTGCTAATTTTTTACAATTAAGTGCTCTGTGGAATGACGCTGTTGGAAGCAGAATTTCGAGGTCCACAACTCATAGAGAGGCCCACAAACTGGAATTTAACACTTGCAAGGTAAGTTTTCTTATAAAAAAGGTGAAGTAAAAACCCTAAAGTTGCACAACTTATTTATAGGCCAAAGAAAAGCCACTAGGAACTCCACTGCAAAAGAAAAATCGGCTTAGATGGGCTAAAAAATATAGACAATGGACACCTCAACAATGGTGTGCAATACAATGGAGTGATGAGGGCCGATTCGAAGTTTGTGTTGGTGACAGTCGCAATAGAGTTATTCGCAAAAAAATGAAGCATTCCATGTTGACTGTCTGAAGAGAAAAGTGAAACTTCCAGCATCCATTATGGTCTGGGGCAGTATGTCATCCAAATGAGTAGGAAAACTTCATTTTATTGATGGAAATGTGGATACAAACAAATATTTGGCAATTTTAGGAGAATAACTTTTACCAGTGATGGAAGAATGTTTGACATCCGGCCAAGATTTTGTGTTTCAGCAAGATGGTGCAGCGTGCCATACCTCAAAAAACGCTATAAAATGGATGGAAGAAAATAATGTACCAGTTTTGAAATGGGTTTCTAGCAGTCCAGATCTGTCACCTACTGAAACTTTGTGGCACGAGATGAAAAAGGTTCTACGACAACATCCTGCTCGTACAATCACCGAACTGAGACAAAAGCTCCAAGAAATATGGGATTGTTTTACAACAAATTTTTGCCAAAACTTGGTTAACACTATGCCCCAAAGAATTTCAGCCATAGTAAAAAATAAAGGTGATGTTACCCAATGGTAATCTTTCAATTGTTGCTTTGTTAACTTCGCGCATTTATTCGCACATTGCTTATTTGTTCAGATGTTCTATTAGTTATAGGTCTAAGTGATTTCAAATATATATTTTTTACGACTAGAGCGTATCTAAAATGTTTGTAAGAAAATAAATTGTTTTAGAAGTAAATAGTTTCGTCATGTTTAGTTTATAAAAGCATATTTTGGTACAAATCTTGAAGTGGACCAACTGAAGTAGGAACAGGCTCGTACACCACCTACATGTATCTGAACCGTATATTCGGACAAAACATCTTTAAACATCATCTTTTAAATTATTCATAAGTAGCATAGCTAAGTATGAAGTTTTCCATTGCTGCACCTTCGCTTGGTTCAAAATATTCTTCCTTGTAGGTACTGTAAAATATTTAGATGCATACATAGATGCGCTAGGGTGATCAGATAGTTCTGGTCATAGTCATTGAAGCTGAGCGATTCCCTTATAGTCTAATCATATTAGCAAATTTCCCCGAAATAATTGTAAAGTTTGGTTTTATTGGTGCAAGTTGTTCAAGGGGGTATTCAGAACATGGACGCATGAAATGAGTACATTCGACAACAAAGAACGAGAAAACGTGTTTTTTGGGATTCAATCGACAGTCTTGGCAGATACAAAACAATTTTCCATATAAGATTTTTAGGTATTTATGAGACTTACAAAATAAGACAACACGTAAAAAGATAATAGCAAAAATGTTATGACCGAGAACCGAGGAAAACTGCAGGTTCTGACACTTGTTGATAATGCGACGATAATATCATGCAACTACTTGAAATTCTTCAAATCCGTAGGATTCAAATTCTAAATAGCAACAACAAAATTGGATTATATTTGTCAAGTAGTTCTTTGATAATTTCTAATTGTTTATCTCACAACACCTGTTTTCCGGCCATCACTACTAGTGTTTACCTTGCCGATATGAATCACAAACCATTCCGATAGATAGATGTTATTTTAATGCGGAAAACAAAGTTTACGTTTTTTCTTCTGAATAAATTCAAACATTTCGTATTTGTGAGTATGTGAACAAATGCGCTACGATATTCAAAAGACATACGTTACTATACACATTTTAAACCAAAGCGGATCTGTCTATCATCTTTTGTTGCGAATTGCTTACGAATACGAAAATTTTGAATTTGTTTAGAAGAAAAAACGTAATCCATCCTTTTTTGCATAAAAATAACATTTATCTTCCCTGATGGTTTGCGATTCATATTGGCAAGGTGAACTAGTGTATTTTGCTATAAAATGCCCCTTGAATCCCAAAAAACACGGTTTCTCATTTTTTGTTGTCGAATGTACCCATTTTATGCGTCCATGTTTTGAATACATCTTGGAGCAACTTGCAGCAATTAAACCAGACTTGATAATTATTTCGCAAACCAGGGGTATTTTCGTCTAATATGTTTAGACTATTAAGTTTTTGGTATCGGTATACTGGGGAGTAATGATGATACATCAAACGAAACTACTACTTTATTATCTCCCAACTTTAATTCTTCGATTTTTGCTACAAATTCATGAGAATTTTTGATTGACAAACTTCGGAGTTTCAGTTTTTCGAACTTCTCTACAAGAACCTCGATATGTTATATGTAGGAGAACCTTCAGCTGATACTACCGGTTTCATTGCTTTTCTTGGTTTGTGCACTTTTGGAAGGCAGTACAGCTTAGATGAGGTTGGATTAGATAGTTGGAGTTTTCTTCTTCATGCTGGGTTAACTAGTTTCTTTCAACCAACCAATCCTATTTCCTATTGGACCATTTTGACGATTTTTGCTTAGTTTTTGATAAGGCCCTCCAATGGGTCTCCCCTGAACTAGTCCTTTTTGTCTGAAATGACCACCTTGTTATCTTTGTCGGCTTTCGAGCAGAAGCAGTCCTTCGTTCTCACGCTCTTAATAACCTTTTTCCTATGGTCTTTGAGGATTTTCTTCTGAGTGATAACCTCACGGGCAAATCCATTTGATACTGTGGGAGATGTTAAATCACCGACTCAACAAAACCACAATCTCCTTAAGAACTGCTCCTGATTTAGAAGATTCAGCCCTTCGTTGGCAAATAATGAGGAAGAAGATCGATTCTCTGCAACGTTAATTGTTTGTTGTGGTGGCGCTGCTTTTTTCTTTGCAAATATGTGATTTTTTTGTACAGAAAAAAAAGTATCCCCCTGTATTTTGTTTCAGATACAGTGAGCACGTATCTTTAACAATCCCAGTAATGTTCAAACATCAAGTTTGTTAGCTTATGGGTTAATTTCTTATGGAAACTGTATGATTGTATCTCTGCCTTGCTACATTTACCATTCAGATATTTGATTTTTGACTGTATCGATTTTTGTTGAAAGCTTTACAAAAATATGTGTGAAAACTGCAATGAAGTAAACATGAATATTATTAATATAGGCCGACGTGAAGATAATTAAAGATACTGTTGCTTTAAGTAGATAGGTAGCTTTGTCTGTTTATCCTATGATCTTCAGTGTCTCTCACATGCTGTGCTAAGCCTAATTTCTTTCTTTTTTGTATAGTTTGATCTCGGAAGTTGAAATTTCGTTTTATGGATACGAATCCCGTATGTATTAACGCATTCTTTTTTCGTTCAAGTACACAGATTGTTCAGTGTAATATGCCTCACAGCGTCTTCAAGTCCTTTCATTGAGTTTTATTCAGTTTCAGTTACAAACAAGCCGAACATTGATATCGGAACATTAGTTGCCAAGAATTAGCAGGTTCGGAAGAATTATTGTCATTAAAAAATGCTGCTATGAGGTACACAGTGCATATAAGAGCTTAAAGCATCACTAGTGGCCTCGGTGTAAACATAGCGAATACGTTGATGGTCATAACATAATCTGCGGTCATAATTTACTAATGTTGGCAGGAGCCGGTGTGCTGGAATGCTGAATGCTCAGCTAGTCACGGAAAGGAGTGCAGTACTGTGAATCCCCCTGTAAATCTACAAAATGTCAGCTTCCTTCAGATAGTAATCACTCGAAGTGTAACACCAGATAGCTGCAAATCAATATTATTTGAGAACTGAATGCTTCTGAAAGGCATTAGTCATACACGAAGCTCGCATTGTCTTTGGCAGCGGAAGCGATTCGAATAAATCTGTATTGATCCGCAGCATTCAGCATGCACCATCTGGATTTAAATTTCAAATTCAAAACTGATCTAAATGAACTTTTCGAGACAAAAGACGGGCCTGTATAGATAGCAGCAATTAAGGAAATAGTGGAAGTTGTATTCAAATATAGAAAGTTACTCCAGCAGAATGGTTCATAAATGTTTCAGTCACTTTGTAAAAGTTCTCAACATCAGAGATCCTAGTATTTAGTCTGCTAGACAAAAATGCATTTTTAATAGCTGAAATAGATTGTTTTGCATCAAGTTTTCAATGGTAGTGCAATCTGACCTCATTTATCTGGTCGTGTGCTTTGAGAGAAAACTAATTTGTGGCTTAATCCGTCTTTAGTCACTGGCGCTCTTCTTGCCCATGCCTACATCTAGTCACGAAGTGCCAATGTTTCTTGTGCTGGTTTCTCATAAATTTTTTGAATAGGTTCCTTCTTGTGCTTTTTGGCACCTCCAAGGCAGGTCCTGGGCCTGTTTAGGGTGTCGATGATCCTTGCCTGGTGAGCTCATCCGCTCTTAACATTTCTTGCGTTACCTGAATGCTCTGGTACCCACATCAGGATACTGAAATTGTAGTGACTATGACCTAAAGACCGCCTTGAGAAGCAACGACATTAATGTTGAGCTGTCAACGTCTGAGAATCATGCCCGGTTGCACCGCCTTGCTAAGCTCAACTTCAAGCTAAGCAATCCTCCATGTTTTTGTTGATCCAGTTGTACTTAAAACTTTGAGATGAACTTAAGCAGAGATTTCCATGATTTGACCTGATTATCACTGTCTGTTAAGTTCTTGGTAAATAAAAAACTACAGATATGGAAAGTACGAGTACTTCTTCATTAGCATCTAGAAAGCTCGCGTGACAATATCGTGTAGCTACCTCTCAAAAATAACAGTCAAGATTGGCCATGAAGCGTAATGGGTATTTCAGACAATTCGCAATGCTCTAAAAGTGTTTTTCAACGTCAAGTTTGTCCTAAAGAGGTAGTTAACTTCAACCAAAGGATCATGTATATAATTTTGTTGGCAAATCGTAATGTTTAATCAGAGGCCAAAATATCTGAACGAATCATAGTAGATTAGCTCTTAGCACGATCGATAATCACCAACCTTCTCGACTGTCTCAACGATTGGACACTTAAGTTAACTTAATATGACAAAAATCAGCTTGAACCAGTACAGCGTCGTGGAACTCGAGTCCCATTTGGAGCTCGTTGACCCAGCTGTGAAGATCGCCTCGAGTTATACCACTCGACTACATTCTTCGACCGAATAACTTGAGGCGAACACAAAGGTACCTTTAGAATAAATACTTCATGGCTTGAGTGGCACAAACTTGAAGCACCTATACCAACTGTCGTGCAGCAATTTCTGCGGTCACAGCTTCAAACTGCAAAAGGATCCGTTTAGAACGACAATCCGGCAGTGGTTTCTCCCTAATCGCATATTCGACACTTGGAACAGCTGACCAGAAATTGTGGCTAATGCTACGTCAGTGAAAAGCTTCAGAGTATGTTATGATAGGTGGAACAGGAACAAACTTTTACAGCTATGAACTTTTTGTTTTAATTTTATGTATCTCACGCTACTTATCTGTAGACTACGTTTTACTCTTGTTCATGAGCTCATAGTATTGTAGAACTTGAAAATCGAATTCATAGGCAATTGAAGCTTTAAAATCATACTTACCTAACTTGAAAGTTAACAGGCGATTAAAAACTGTACCTTAGGGATGCAAATATATCAGAATGTTTTTAAACTGATGAAGATGATAAAAAGGAAGAATGAGTTGAGATATTCTCAGTGGCAAATGTAATGAAGGTACGGGGAAGAAATTACTTTCAATAAATCTAAACCCTAAATAAATGTGATCACCGAGTTTACCTTCTTATTCATATAACTTTTGTGCGAAAGAAAAGAGGTAATTAATTCAACCAA